TCTGCTCATTGTAGCTCGTGTTCTGCTCATTGTAGCTCGTGTTCTGCTCATTGTAGCTCGTGTTCTGCTCGTTTTAGTTCATATTCTGTTAATTTTAGCTCGTGTTCTGCTCATTGTAGCTCGTGTTTGGCTATTTTTAGTTTGTTTTCTGTTTATGTTCTACTCATTTTAGCTTGTTTTTCTCTTTTTAGTTCGTCTTCTGCTCATTAGATCATTTTAATGTGTTCTGCTCTTTTTAGCTCGTGTTCTGCTCTTTTTACCTTGCATTCTGTATAATTTAGCTTGTGTTCAGTTTATCTTTTGCTCTGTATTTTAGTTTGTTTTCTACCCGTATTACAGTGTTTTGCTCATTTCAGCTTGTGTTCTGCTCATTTTAGCTTGTGTTTTGATTTGTTCAGCTTTGTAGTTATTCTAAATTATCATAAGCCGTTTGATTTTACAGTTCTGTCCTCCTGGTGACGGTCTGTCTTTGGGTTTTACACTGAAGTCTGTGATTATTAAAGCACTTTGTTCAACGTGTTAAATTTTAAATGTGCTCTATAAATAAAACAGCTCGACTTTAGCTGTTCATGAAAGCTTGTGTTTTATTGTACGTACCTCAAATCATGCCTGAATAATTCATGGTAAAAGCTGTGGAGGAGGATCTGAATGAGTGTTTCTTCCCTTTCTAACCAGACGTGTGTTTTTACTCAGGATATATTTAATGTTTTGACTCAGTTATGTTTTTGGCATAAAATCAGAAGAAGTACTTTTTTTATTTGACCAAATCAAACTGCTTCCTTCTCGTTGCAGAGGATGATGACACATTTTTTTGTTATTTAGTGCAGGAGATCCACTCTACCTTTATAGTACGGCAGCAGATCGAGGAAGGCTTGTCGGACCTTCTCTCCTGTGAGAGGCTGGATGTCCTCCAGGCTGTCCATCAGCGGCCCGATGGAGTAGTACTGAGCCTCCCTGTGGACCGCTTGGACTCGGTCCCGGTGAGGAAGCTCTCCTTCACGCAGGAAGTTCAGGACGTCCCTTCGGATTGAAACATTTTGTGTCAAATCACACAGGACGAGATACAGAAATTACCTAAAGATCTGCGTTTACCGATTAACGTACCAAATAAAGTTGGCTTCAATTCGATTTCTGCTTCTCAGCAGCAGAAGCTTCAAAAAGCCAACCGGGATGTGATGGTTTATTTTGCATTAAGTGAAAAAAAACAAACGCCAGTCTTTAATGTTTTTATTTTATTTGCATGTTCCATCTCTCGTTCGTCTAACTCCTGATCTTTAATTACACTTAAAACACACGTTTATCAGTCAACCTCAGCCTCCTGTTACATAAATCACACATCTCTGCTCGTTATCACATCCATATTTAAAGAAATTTGCTTTTCCTTTTCAGAACATCTAGCACAGAGACTCTGGGGATTGTGAAGCTGCTCCGGTCCAGGCTGACGTTTATTTTTGTACGCTCACGGTGCCCAGAGGGTTTGTTTCTACACTGACGACTTCCTCTCAGTGATTGTGGTTTTCACACCTTGGCCAACCGGATATTTAAAACTATTTACATAAAAAAGGAGAGAAGCCAGAAAAAAAAACAATAAATAGTATCAAAACTGTTTCTTCGCTACATCCCTTTAGGTTTGAACGTTTCTTTTTCTATTTAAGGCTTTGTTTTCCTCCAGGTGCTTTTTTCATTTTCAGCAGCTACGTTTCTGACTAAACTAAAAAAAGCAGCATCAAGTGGTTGTGTTATATCATCAAGTTAAAAAAAGAGCTAATGGGGCATCTCAGGTGAGAATAAGAGACATAAATAATCTGATTTTACACCGATGTGATCTTAATAAAAGATGTAGAATGCGCAGCAGATGCTCACCGTGTCTGATTTTCCACTGGTTTCTTGTTTTAAAATCACAGTTTGTTGTTTGTAAAATGGCCCAATGTCCCGCACAAATCCACATGTACTGTGGCTGTTTTCAGCTGAATGTAATGAGAACATGAGACTAGGCCTGTCACGATAACTAATTTTGCTGGGCGATTAATTGCCTCAGAAATTATTGTGATAAACGATAATATTGTTTGAAATTTGACAATAATTAGTAATTTTTGCCAAATTTAAGAAGAAATATTTGTTTTGCATGTAGTACCTTTTTTGACCACTGGATGGCAGTATAAGACTTTTTGAACTGAAGGATGGATAGTGAGGGAGTGAGCAGCGAGTCTCGAAGTAAAATGGGAGGGAGGCCCCTTGACGTGACATGGGCTGTCTCTCTTCGGTTCTCAAAATGTGGACACAGTGTGGTTTGAGCTCTTTAGCATAGCATTTTTCACACAAAGCTTTTAATTTAAAAAAAAATGAGTAAACAAGTTCTCAGCTTCTTTTTGCAGAGAAAAACAACATTTTATACAAAGGCACGGGATTCAACCGTGAATTTTGGAGCTTTGACAAGACTCGTTTTTTTCCCCCTGAGTTCGGCCTGTTAGCTTAGCTCGTAGCTTAGCTTTTCAGCTTAGCTACTTCCAAAAAACGTGATTTTAGATGGTTAAAATGGATTTTAAAGCAAAAAGAGAAAGGGAGGGGTCAGTGAAGAGCACCAGAGGTGAGTCTTTTGTCATCCAGTGTCTTCAGACACGAAAAAACGATAAAGCCAGTAAATGAAAACGAGGTCGATAATTTGCATTTATCATGGATTAATTGATTTATTGTTTATCGCGACAGGCCTATTCCAAATGACAAATTTGAACAACTACGTATCGTTTTTAAGCTTTTGAGTAGAATTAGAAAATAATACCTCAATATTGAAAATATCATTGTGACTCATTTTTCTATTATGGGTCTCTTGTTTTATCTAGAGACAAATGGAAGTTGGCACAAAGTTGAAAGATTCCAGTATCACTTTGAAAAATCAAATAAATTATTGTCAATTAGCTGCACCCGTTCAGTAGCCCCCCCCCCCCCATCTTTATTCACCCCTGCTCACACTTCCATAAAGTAAAATGACTCAGCCGTAATAAATCCCACCATGTCACTGCTGAGACGCCGTTAATCCCGCCTCAGATAAATCAGCAGAGCGTGTCGGATCAGCAGCCCATAAGAAAAAGCAGCAGCTCAGAAATAGATTCGTAAATCAGTTCAGAGCGCCGGCAGAAGAGTCCAGTTTGCTTGACTGAATTATAGATTCATGGATGCCTGTCAGAGTATAATGAGCTGCCTTCAGCAACTTGAAGACCTCTCAGATTACAAACTTTCTTCTCCCACTCATAACCCTTTTATGTACTGGATACTATTACAAAAACATGACAAAATAAAAGCTCTTATTGTGATAAAGATTGCTTTGTGTCAATTTAGAGGTCATGTTTCAATATTTTTTTTATTTGCTTGAGGGTCTAAAACGAGACTCACGCAAAATACGTTCCGTCGCGGTCGATGAAGTAGCGTCCCTCAGTGTCCCGTGGGATGTAATGACGCCCGCTGAACATGGCGGCCAACATGGTGTCCTCGTACCGCCGCAGCGTGGACAGACGTGTGGTAAAGTACGTGCCCCCCACGTTCAGAGAAATGACCTCTGGAAGCTTGAAAAATCAGGAATAAAAAGGATGAGAGGGGAAAAGAGGGACCAAAATGTTTGATTTTCTGCACAACGTAACAAAAGGTTACAAAAGAAACCTGTTGCAAGATTAGCTTCTTTTTAAGGATTATTAGTCAAAGCATCACATTTATCAGTTTGTTTTTCAATGAGGTGATCATTACTGATGACATTTTCAGATAAAAACATTATATCGGAGCTACAGTTTGGATCTTTACAAATGTACAGATTTATGCTTTACCAGAGCTGAGGTTTATTTATTCAATTAAAACTAGTTTAAAAAAAAAAACTTTGGGGGTCTGGGGTGTATGTTGTGAATAACTACAACCACATCAAATTCTACCAAAACATCTGGAAAATGTATTGAGCTACAGCTGCCATCTTACACTGGGTCGACTTCAAGTTATTCAGCTGTAGATATACATCCAAAGATTGCTCTGATAGTTTAATTCAACTCTGTGTGAAGTTTGATGAGATATTTTGGCAAAAGACAAGCACAAATATCATCATCTTACGCCCTGTTTCCACGTGAATGATCTCTTGGTTGTGGAAAAGATACGTGTTTGAATGAGAAGGGGTTCTCTGCAGACCAAAAGTGGGCGTTTCTAGAGGACAAACACTGATTGGCTGGCTGTATTTGCTGCTCTTTAGGTAAGTTACATCAGCTTTTTGTTAAAACTGAAGGTTTTTAAAAAACTGTGTTTTATCTGCTGTCAAACACAAGAAGATCCTCTTTTGTTCTTGGTTGTAGCTGCACCTGACACAGGTTGGCTTGAGTGTGGTCTGGTACAATAAAATATGAAACATCTGAAGCACAACCTGCTCCTATTTGTCAAAAAGTCTGGTCTCAATTAAAGATCATGAGTCTTGTAACGAGATAACGGCCCAAAACAAAAGCTAAAAACTAAATTTGCTCTTTAGAAGTGTCTTCTACAGGTCCTTCTCAAAAAATTAGCATATTGTGATAAAGGTCATTATTTTCCATAATATAATGATAAAAATGAAACTTTCATATATTTCAGATTCATTGCACACCAACTGAAATATTTCAGGTCTTTAATTGTTTTAATACTGATGATTATGGCATACAGCTCATGAAAACCCAAAATGCCTGTCTCAAAAAATTAGCATATCATGAAAAGCTTCTCTAAACAAGCTATTAACCTAACCATCTGAATCAACGACGTAACTCTAAACACCTGCAAAAGATTCCTGAGGCTTTTAAAAACTCCCAGCCTTGTTCATTACTCAAAACCGCAATCATGAGTAAGACTGCCGACCTGACTGCTGTCCAGAAGGCCATCATTGACACCCTCAAGCAAGAGGGCAAGACACAGAAAGAAATTGCTGAGCGAATAGGCTGTTCCCAGAGTGCTGTATCAAGGCACCTCAGTGGGAAGTCTGTGGGAAGGGAAAAGTGTGGCAGAAAACGCTGCACAATGAGAAGAGGTGACCGGACCCTGAGGAGGATTGTGGAGAAGGGCCGATTCCAGACCTTGGGGGACCTGCGGAAGCAGTGGACTGAGTCTGGAGTAGAAACATCCAGAGCCACCGTGCACAGGCGTGTGCAGGAAATGGGCTACAGGTGCCGCATTCCCCAGGTCAAGCCACTTTTCAACAAGAGACTGTGTCAGAAGCATCTCACCAGGGACTGCTGCTGAGTGCTCCAAAGTTATGTTCTCTGATTACAGTAAATTTTGCATTTCCTTTGGAAATCAAGGTCCCAGAGTCTGGAGGAAGAGAGGAGACACAGAATTCACATTGCTTGAGGTCCAGTGTCAAGTTTCCACAGTCACTGGGGTGTCATTTCATCTGCTGGTGTTGGTCCACTGTGTTTTATCAAGCGCAGGGTCAATGCAGCTAGCTATCAGGAGATTTTGGAGCACTTCATGCTTCCATCTGCTGAAAAGCTTTATGGAGATGAAGATTTCATTTTTCAGCACGACCTGGCACCTGCTCACAGTGCCAAAACCACTGGTAAATGGTTTACTGACCATGGTATTACTGTGCTCAATTGGCCTGCCAACTCTCCTGACCTGAACCCCATAGAGAACCTGTGGGATATTGTGAAGAGAAAGTTGAGAGACGCAAGACCCAACACTCTGGATGAGCTTAAGGCCGCTATCGAAGCATCCTGGGCCTCCATAACACCTCAGCAGTGCCACAGGCTGATTGCCTCCATGCCACGCTGCATTGAAGCAGTCATTCATGCAAAAGGATTCCCGACCAAGTATTGAGTGCATAACTGAACATGATTATTTGAAGGTTGGCGTTTTTTGTATTAAAAACACTTGTCTTTCATTGGTGGGATGAAATATGATAATTTTTTGGGACAGGCATTTTGGGTTTTCATGAGCTGTATGCCATAATCATCAGTATTAAAACAATTAAAGACCTGAAATATTTCAGTTGATGTGCAATGAATCTGAAATATATGAAAGTTTCATTTTTATCAATACATTATGGAAAATAATTACCTTTATCACAATATGCTAATTTTTTGAGAAGGACCTGTATAAGATCTGATCTATGAAAGGAGCTGAAACATGGAGTGGGGTTGACCCTTAAAATGTGAGACAGCTGAGGAATTTAACCAGTAAACAGAAATACCTGCTCCAGTTGCAGAAATCTGACAGAAACTGACAATCACTCATCTGCAGTGACTGCAGGTTGAACAAGAAAATCAGAGTCAGAGTTTCTTTATTGTCATTCGAACCTCATGTGGTACATGTGGTGGAGCGAAATTATGTACACGGGGTCCCAGTTACATCCAACAATAAAATGTATAAGAAAAACAGTAATAACATCTAAGATATGAACTAAGAAAAACATCAACTAAATATACACTAAGCACTCATAACATAAAACATTGAACATCAGCACAAACATGAACATGAGTCTGTGAGCAGATGTGCACGCATGAACACATCAACATTGAAACAAATGTGAAGTTAAAAGGAAACATCCTTCGTCCCAAAGCCAGTTTAAGTATCATTAATATTTTGGTTACTTGATTTTTCTTTATTTATGAAATTATTGTAATGATTTTCACATTATTCAACAACCAAAACGGATTTTGTTTTTTTGCTCTTATTTTGAAATGTAACCGGAAGTTCTGTGTTAAGAGAAGTTATGGAGACACCGCTAATGTCTAACCGGTTAACACCATAGATATAATGCGTCTGTGGTTAACACAATCTGCCAATAACGCCTTGTTTTTTTCCGTCCAATCAGATGAGACCCTCCAGATACGCCTTTTTTCTTATTGTCCAATCATATGTGGCCTAGATACGCCCTTTTTTCTTATTGTCCAATCAGATGCGGCCCTCTAGATACGCCTTGTTTTTACCGTCCAATCAGATGAGACCTTCCAGATACGCCTTTCCGTATTTGTCTGCAGAGATACCTACTTAGTTGGAATGGTATCTGCTGTAGTTTCCATGCCAGGTCAGTAGGTGGAGCTGTGATTTTGTATTCCGACGACACGAGCAAACTCTTCTGTCTCAAGCAAGAAAACAGTCACATCGAATTGGTGGATATACGAATGCTCGTTTGGACCGAGGATGAGGTGGTGTTGCTCCTACACGTTGAAAAGGGTGAGCAGCACGAGCAGCACTCTGCTATCCGCCACTGATCATCTACTTGTACAAGACATGGAATCAAAGCATTTTGGTGTCAGAGAAAACAAACACTGTTGTTGTGTAGGAACAATATATCGGTACATTAGAAACTCTAGTTTCACGTAAGAACAGTGTTGTGTGAACATAGCGTGATAATCAACACTAGTTTGTCGGTTATTGAATCCCCCTGGCTAAGGATCAGACCCTCAATGAATCAAGACTCACGAGTCAGAGATCCTACACGTTCTCTGGTAGACTGTCGTCCGCGAGTTCGCAACTTCACGGAAAGCAGTGGAATCCCCCAAAACAGAGTAAACTCATATAGGTCGTTTACATGTGTTTCGCGTACGAAGGGGGTGTGGTGGTTCAGAGGTAGAGGATGCAAGCCTGTGATCAGAAGGTCACTTGTTCGATCCCCCGGACAGACAACATCAAAATGTGGGTGGGAAAGGCGAAGCACCCACACCTGCCTCCACCTTCGTTTGCCTTGAGCAAAGCCATTAACCCCACCATCTGCTCCCCCAGGCGCCCTAGATGGCAGCTCCCTGCTCCACACAGAGGGCTGTGGTAGCTCACTGGTGTCAACCAGCATAAAAGAGGAGGGGGGAAAAAGTGTTGCACATACATTTAACATATATATTTGCACATTGCACTTTTTTACATTTGTTTTGTTTCATTATTTGCATGTTTTTTATATATATATATATATATTATTATTATTATTGGTATGCAGAACTTGTAAAATAAACAACTGATAATGCAAATGTTTTTTGGCAGCGGGGGGAGGAGGGGGGCAGCATGCAATTCAATTTCACTTCAGTTCATTTATATAGCGCCAAGTCACAACAGAAGTCATCTCTGGGCACTGAACAGAAATATTAATATATAAAAATAATATTTTAACATTATTTATCTGAGGAGCAGACTGCTTTGAGTTGAACTACATCGCAGAAATCTCATCTTGAGCAAGCGTGAGTCCTTAAAGTGAATTTACCACCTCACACACAATCTGCGCGGTCTGTTGTGCTTCAAGGATCCGGGTGACAGAGAGGCCACGTGACACGCTGCCAGCCAATCATCACAGGGCTCTGCGGCTGAACCAATCACAGCGCGCCGTATAAATAGCAACACAAACAGCGAAGTTATTTGGAGTAATAATGTGTATTATGGTTGAACTGCGTACATGCTAATAGTAACGAAGAAACGCCATTAAAAAAAAAAAAGTAAAATTCACTCTCTGTAATTTGTCAATACAATTGTGCCAATTCTGTGTTGTTTGCTGGATTGTGTGTGTGATGTAGTGTTCCGAAGCGGCCTACCTCCTGACCCTCCTGCACCTGGCTGTTCAGCGAGGACCGGAGCGTTTTGGTGGGTGAGGGGGAGGCTGGCTTCCGGGCACCTTCCTCCTCAGCCGGGACCGAGCTTGACACGGCATCGCTCGGTTTGTCCGTTTCCCCCGCGGCCGAGAACACCACCATTACTTTGGGCAGAGGCAGCGTCCGCCTCTCTTGAATGAACCGTCTCACCCGCGTAGTAGCGGCGGGTATCGGGCTGAAGGAGGAGAGGGGCTGGCGCTCCCTGCCGCTGCAGCCTTCGGAGCCGTTGGAACCGCTCGAGCCATTCTGCTGCATGCACGCGGGAAGGGCCGGCGTTCGGCGCGCGAGGACAGCCGAGCCACAGCGCACCAAACGTTGGCCAGGACAACACAAACAACAACAACAACACAAGAGAGGGTGTGTCTCCAGCAGCTGCGAGACTTCAGCCCACGTTACATCGAACCAGAGGCAACGAAATGTCGCCTCCTGCGATTCAGCGCGTTAATAGCACGAGCAGTATGCTAAACATCTGAACATAAGCAAACTGCACTTAAGCTCACGCGACTTTACGTGCGATGAATACCTTGCAACGTCATCACGTCATGACTGAGAGCAAAATAATAACACATCAAACTACTGGACTTTGTGCTATTTTAACCATTCAAATGTCAAAATGTTTGTGAGTTTTAATTTTTTTGTTGCTTTTATACTTTTTAATATATTACTCTAACTTTGCTTGTATAATTTTTCCTCATAAAAAAAAACAAAAAAAAACAATGAGATGTTTTCAGTCCCTTGAAAAACATTGTTCTCTTGTAGCTTCTAGCCAGCTTTTTGACACATCAGTTAGTCTTTTGATCCCTTTAGTTTTTAGCAAATGTTTATCTTCATTGCTATTTTTCTCTGTTTATGATACATTTAGCTCCTGTTTTTATTTCCTGATGCATGCTCAATAATCCAGGTAGAAAAAATCTCTGGAAGGGTTCAAAAAATAAACAAACAAACAAACAAGCAAAAAAGTGGAAACATTTCGTCTTTCATCCAAAAGACTTCTTCAGTCATGTTTTTATTATTTTAGCTCTTAACCACAGTTTGGCAAATTTTAGCTTTTAATTTTTTTTATTTAATAACCCAATTTATTTGCCTGACTTTAATTGTTTATTAATGTACCCAACATTGATGCTGATGAACAAAATCTTATTTATCTTAATGTGGGAGAAAACAAAATCAGCACTAAAAGATGTTACCAGTTTAGTGAGAAACAATAGTGTATTTGTTTAGTTTGTTGCTTGTAATCAATCTATGAACTATATGTTGTAAAATAAACCTCTAATAATGTGAATGTTTATGAAGCATTAACTATTGAGATCCATTTTTCTTCTGTACGTTTTTTGGCATTTTTCTCGTTCCACAGTTTTTGGCCTGTATCATTTATTAAAACGTTCAGGATAAGGGTGCTGTGATTTTTGGTATAGTGCAACTTTATCTTTTTGAAATATTTAGCCTTTTCTGTCATTTTTTTCTCTTAGGAAATGAATTGAGCTCATTTGACATCCTTCATATCTTTAGATCTGTTCACAACTTTTTACTGCTCCTTTCACATTTTGCTCTGATTTGGCTTCTTTCAGCTTCTTGTGCAAATTTAAACTTTTTCAGCTACTTTCAGCAGTTTTTTTTTTTTTAATCATTTCAGAATATTTCATCTACATTAACTTCTTTCATCTAATTTCAGCTTGTTATGTTCCTTTCAGCTTATTTCTGCAAGTTTCATCTTTTTCTGCTATTTCAGCTATGATTTAGCCGTTTTTGGGGCTGATTTGAGCTTTTTTCAGATAATTTCCACACTTTATGCTCATTTCTGCTTCTTTCAACTTAATTGCGCAAACGTGTTCTTTCTGATTTCTTCTGCTAATTTAAGCTTGTACTAGCCTTTCGGACACCTTTTTTTGTATTTTTTAGCTAATTTCAGCTCTTTTCAGATAAATTCAAGTTTTTCATGATACTGCTCTCAGCCTAATTAACTTCTTAATGCTAATTTAAACTATTTATGCTCCTTTCAGCTTTTTCTGCTAGTTTCAGCTTTTTCAGAAATTTCAGCTACTATTTAGCTGTTTTTGTGCAAAATTTAGGTTTTTCAGCTAATTCCATGTTTGAGCTCATTTCAGCTCCTTACTTCCTTTTCATAGTTTAAGCTTCTTTCTGCCTTTTCAGCTACTTTTCAGCTATTTTCTTTGCTAATTTCATTTTTTTAGCTAATTTTCTAGTTTTTGTGCTAATTTCTGCTTATTTAAACCTAATTCAGCAAATATGTTTCAGCTAATTTCAGCATTTTTTTTTTTAGCAAGTTCTTGAGCAAAAAGCATCCACACTGCATTTTAGCAGGAAATGCAATTTCGCTAGTTTATTTTTGAATATATCGAATTTGCTTTGTGTGTGACACAGGCTAACAAAAACAATTAAAATGTTTAAACATATATATTTTTTTTAGACATGAAAGAGAAATACTGAATAAATTAGCTTAGCGATAGCCATCTCAACAGCTAAAAGCCCTTTGCTAAAGCCCCTACAGCTAGCCTTCTAAACTTCTTCTTGTGATAGAACGAGCTAATCTTGTGCCAGATAATCTAACTTGGACACATGTGTTTGAACTGACATGGCTTTTGTAAAAGAGCAGCCACTGTTTGTCAACTGCACATTATGATGAGAGCTTAAAATGAAGACACCCGGCAGAACGAGCTGCTCATTAGTCATATTTTGTGACCACTAAAAACCACACGGGTATTACAGACGAGCTTGACGGATGTGGGGAGGTTGTGCTGAAAGAGGAAGCTGGGCTCAGTCTGCTGCTGTTTGAAAGAGGTGAAGAATGAAGGCAGCTGGACCTCTGAAGGTAACACGGCAACATGTCAGATAAGACCGGTTTTATTCACGTTGGGGTTGTTTTATTGTTTTATAGTGTCTTAAAAGTGAACGCTTGTGTTTGACCTGGCTGGAGATTTGTGTGTAAATCTGGCCCTGGAACCAGACGATCACTAACTGAGTCTTGTGGCCAAAAACTTCCATAAAATTATTATTGACAAACTTGATCAAATCCAAACCCAGTGCAGGGAAGCTTATTTATTCAGCTCAGCTCTAATTAACTTCATGCTATTAAGTAAAATAAGTGTTTTCTCCAAACAAATGCATAAAAAGTGTTCCTATCTACCAATATTTACCTGCTGCCCTTGGGTCAAAAGGACCCATGAGGCCTAAAACTGGTGATTTTGACCCAAGGACAGCAGGAGGGTTAACTAATCTAATAATATACACACCGTTTAGTATTATGCAGTAAAAGACCGTAATACTTTTTAAGTATTTATGAGCTAATTCACGTTCGGTTTAGCGGACAGGGTTGCAGCTTAGCCTACATTATATTTAAGATTTTATCGCAGAATAAATCTTTTAAACCAGAGCTAAAGTACAAGGATGCAGAACATTCAGTTCTGTGCTATCATCATACAATTCATTATGTCAGAATTTTAATTGTCCGCATAAATAAAAAGGCACGAGTGGTTAAAATAAAAATTCACGTGTTTTATTTGAAGTAAATAATACAAAACTTGGAAAATAAAGGAGAGCTTCATGATTAATGTTGGCTTCAAAAAGCCAAAAAGTGACTACCAGGAAAACTTTAAAACACCTTTATAGTAATAAAACTACCTCTTCGTGTGTCCACGTTTAATCCTTTTCTTTATATTTTATTAGAAAATCCTCTAATTACTGAAGTCAGAATAGTTTTCAGGCTTTTTAAAAGTTTAAACTTTACCGGGTTTTTTTATTTTTTAGATTTTATTTATTATTTATTAACCTTTATTTAACCAGGCAAATCTCACTGAGATCACAGATCTCTTTTGCAAGGGAGGCCTGAAGGCAGACTAACATACATGTTTATGGTCTGTGGGAGGAAACCGGAGTATCTGGAGAAAACCCACGCAAGCACGAGAAGAACATGCAAACTCTACACATATACATATATGCATA